AAAAAAAAAGAAGGCAACCTACAGCGCCACTATTACAGTTGGTCTCAAGGTCCCTTTCTTCTGGATTCCTGGAAAGTACTCCCCAAAACTGTCAAGTTCAGTGAGGGTAGAGAGAGCCTATGAAGCTGTCAAACTAAGAAGAGTCAAAGGGAATGTGACAACTAAACACAGTATGGTGTCCTAGAAGGGATCTTAGAACAAAAAAAAAAAAAAAAAAAAAAAATCAGGTAACTACCTTAATTAACGGTACTGTCTGGAGTCTCCCTGGGATGGAAGGATGACTTTAGCTTACTATCTTAGCCAAGATATAGAGAACTTTCAGAGATTCCTTCCTGGCTTTCCCATTGAGATAATTTTTAAGCCCACAAGTCAAGGAAAGAAGAGTGGCTCTGGCAACACTTAAGTATGTTCAGTCCAATTCTGGAAGTAGGGTGATACCCACTGGAAAGATCTATGAATCTGGTGGACCTACTATAAGCAAGACTTGGAAAGAACTCTGTTATCTGAATCCATATGAGGACCAGCCAAATAGCTCAGCAGATTAAAGCACATGCAAGCAGGCACAGGGGTCAGGGGTTCAATCGCTGGGCCTGCTGTGCTGGCCCACCCCCAGGCCACGCTGAGACAGAATTGAGCCTGGGCATGGTGGTGCACTCCTATAATCCCAGCACTTGAGAGGCTGTAAACAGACAGATCACTATGAGTCCAATCTAGTAGTGAAACCCTAAACACCTTGTAGACCCTTCCTTAAAAAAAAAAAAAAAAAAAAATCACATATGTTTCCACTCTAAAAGAGTACTCCAGTTCCTAAAGAACAGCATCCACTTGGACCCTGTGTCTCATGGCAATTGTGAACTCTTTTTCCACAGGGTACACTAAACTTAGTAAACGATCATAGAGGAATCACTGGCATTCATACTTGTGGTCATATCACAAGTTCTTCTCGGGGATTGGGCCTTTAGTCAAGTTTCTGTTTTAAAAAATAGTGAAGGTCTAAAAACACAGCAAGAATTCATAACTTTGTATCACCCTCTTTGAGATCATTCAGTAGCACAGCTTGAGTAATACTCTTCTGTTTATCATTTAATTTGCCATGTTCTATTACGCATTGCCAAATATCTCAACAGTCCTCATTACAATAATTATGCTCACTTTTCTCTAGCAGTGGGACATTGTCACCAGGCATTATTCCTCCACACTTCTGCTACCAGTGAGTCCACTTCTGTGACAACATCTGGTCTACACACAACTCAGTGACACTGGTGGCTGTCACCAACACACCCTCATCTTTGTGCATATGCCTCCTTGGGAGTCCCCACCTTTAAGAAAACACAAATACTTTATTGTTCTGTGCAATAACATTTAAGGACTATGAAATCAGGTGTTTGACTGTAACCTGGTTTCATAGTCCTTAAATCCCTGTAACCAGGGATGCACTCTGTTATACGCTAAAATAACTAGTAATATAAAAATTTTCATCCAGCAACTACTTGAAGTCACTCTGCACCTGCAGATGAATCACTGAAATGTACTAAATATCATCAACAAAGAAGTTATTAAAAGGTAGAAAAATCTTCTAGCCTTCTACATATCTATAGCCCCTGACTTTCAAAATGTAAGGCTCGGGCTGGCAAGATAGCTCAGTGGTCTAAAGCACCTGCTTAGGCAAGCTTAGGAAGACGTATAGGGACCATGGTTTGATCCCCAGCACCACAAGCTATGCCATCCCTGCCCCCAGGGTGGGCTAAGCTGGCCACAAAAAAAAAAAGTAAGGCTCAGTAACTCCTGAGCAACATCCACTCTCTTAAGCAAGATCGATCCCTTACTGGATTTAGAATGACAAGACATCTTCAAAGCCATTTGTCTCTCAACTTTTCTACCTTTAATTTAAAAGGATTATAGAAAAATTACCTATTCTTATTTGTTAGAAATATAACACACATTATTTTAAAGTGTGTACAGAAACCTTTTAATTCCTTGGAAAAATGTTTTTTCAGGCTGGCAAGATAGCTCAGCGGACTAAGCACCTGCCTAAGCAAGTGCAGGGACTGAGGTTTGATCCTTGGGGCCACATCCTGTGCTGGTCCCATCCCCAGACACACTGAGCCCGCCACTGAGACTGGGTGTGGTGGTGCACGTCTGTAATCCCAGCGCTGAGGAAGCTGAAGATAGGAGGGTCACTACAAATCCAAGCTACATAGTGAGACCCTGTACCAAATACATATATTCATAGACCACAATAATCTCATCCATTTTGACATTAACAAAGGCAAAAAGACAAGAATTCTGAGTACAGCAATTAAAATAGTATCATGTTTTAATTTTTTACTGTTTCACTGTATGTTCTAAGTGTCTACAGGAGAGAGGGAAAACATCTTTAAGATAATTTTAATCAACATGAGCTAGGGATTAAGTGCCAAGTATAAAAAATAAAATAAAAATTTTAGCTTACTAAACCAGGAAGGATGTTTCTGAAGCATATCAGTTAAATTGGCCTCCAACGTGTTCACAAATGGACAACATGAATCTGCTAAGAAATATTTTAAAATTGTATCCACTACTATAAAAGCTAAAGGATATGAAAATTTTCAAGTTCCAATCCCCTGGACAGACCAATACAAGTTAGTTTTAACTTGAAATCAGAAGTGCAAAAATCTGTAAAACAATTAAAACATTGCCATTACTCTCAGAAATTTACTGATGTGTCCCACGAGTCTTTCTAGTAAGGTGAATCCCAATCTCTTGGCTCACTGCTTAGGTGACAGGCAACTTTTGAAGCTGAATTTCTCAATAGGTGGACAGAAGCAAGCTGCACTGGCCAAACTGTTCCATTTTGAATGTCATCTTCAGAGCAGAAGAAATTCCAGCAATGACTTTCAATGCCTCACTGCCTGCACCTGGCTAAGTCTACACAGGAAGTCCATGGGCAGATGTGACTCTCAGCTCAAAAGCTGGAAACAGATTAAAGACATGGAAGTGGAAGTCAAGCATTTTCATTCATAGATACTATCCCAGGTAAGATGCCAAGGGCTGTTGCACTAAAACTAAAAAAGGAAAAATGAGGTAACCAGCTATTAACAATGCTGGAGGTTTGTGGTGCATGTAGCATAAGACAGACCTTTCACATCTAGCTGCGAGGAGTTCTATTTGCAACTCACTTTTGAGCAATACTTCTAGATATTTTTATCAACCAATTCATCTCAACTCTAAACAGTCATGACTGATACTCAGAATGAAGCCTCTGATACCCTTCAATGCTCTATGAGATTTTTCCAGATCAAACAGAAGTCATAGAATGCCTACTATTATTTGGAGCATTCTTCCCAGTATTATCATATTTTATAGCTATTTTTAAATTGATAATCCATTGTAGGGGCTCAAGGATAGCTCTGTTAACCATATTGTTTTTGTTTTGGTTTTTTGGCTTTTTTTTTTTTTTTTTTCCAGAACCAGGGATTGAACTCAGGCCCTTGCGCTTGCCAGGGAAGTGCTTATTCTACTGAGCCATCTCCCGGCCCAACCATATTGTTTTATCAATTAGAATATCCCACTCCAATAGGGTGAATGATTACAGATTATTATACATTCAAAACCAAAGCTGGAAAAAAAATAAAAAGCTGGGCAATGGGCTGTTGGAATCTGATCACGCACAATGAACCAGTCCACTAATCAACTCTTTGATTTTATCCTAGATGCAAAAGCATCAGGGTGTTTCAATGCAACCAGAGCATTTCTTAGCATAAAGTCCTCAGAAAGCCCTTCCATTGCTGTAGGACTCAGAATCATTTCTCACTTAGCAAGCCCTGTATTTGCTCACTCTCTTCTACATCCAGTCATCCAACTTTGGCTAGCTGTTGAGTCCCAGTGGAAGAACTCCATTCTACTTTTGAGCTTGTCCTTTAGGGACTGGGAAATGGAAGGTAGGGTTGTTTTTTCTGGCCATCTGCCAGACATGGAACCCCAGGCTTCTTGGGATAAGTTCGACTCGCAATTCTAAAGAACTCTTCTGCAGCATCAAGAGCAATGAGTCGGTCCTGCAGAAGAGAGAGAGAAAGAGCATGTGAAATTAAACACCAAGTCAGATGGAAGGGAAAATCAATTTAACAGAAACAAAACCCATCTTAGAAATAATGACAAACAAGCTTTAAAAAAAATACATTTTTCTTAACCAATTCAGAGACACATCTTAACTCTTTACTTCCAATACCCAACAGGCACTACCTATCCTAGCGTCTTTTCAAATTACTTTTCAATCTGAGGTGAAATAAACAGTATCAAAAAAAAAAGAAAGAAAGAAACAGTATCTCTCACACCTCTTTGATCTACACATGGTTCAAAGCCCTGACTGCACAGCAGCACTAACTGAGAAACTCAGATGCTTAAGCCACGACAAAGCAAGCCTCAAAGGCTTTAAGTGTGATCAAGAAATCTGGATTTTCAAAGAGTTTCAGGTGCTTCTAGTGTTGATGGCCAATGAACACCAGAGTGTAGCATGGCTGTCCCATCTGCCACTTTGTCCTTTAGGGGTATGAGTGGTGGTGGAAGGAAGCATACAGAATAACAGGAAAGGCAACACTCTTAAGCAAAACCAGGGCAGATAAAGAAAGTTATCCACTTACCACAACGAAAAGGTATCTCTCTGAGAGCTCCCAACTGGTTGGAAAAATACTGGTCTCCTCCGCCAGTTTTAACAACATCTCTCGAGCTTTCCTTGTGTTTTTAGAATCACTCATGGTGCTAAGTTTAGTCACTGACAACAAAGAATCCACTTCCTTTTGAAAACCTAAGGTAGAAAAATTTACCCTTCAGGTAAAGTAGGCACTAGGAAATGACTGTCTGGATCCCAGTCCCTGCCAGATATAAAAAGGGGGCTCAAATGCAGAATCTGCACAAACATCAGAAAACTGGAGCCAGTGGCGGTCTTCCATGCACCGCTTCCTAGCACAGTATGACTGGCAGTGTCTTGAATTTCAACTTTTTCAATCTTTATTCTTACTGACTTTCTTGTTAGTATTTTCTTTCAGTTATACCTCATGTACTCAGCCACTGCCTGTTGCTGCCCTTTGTTTAGTCTGAAACTCTCTTATCTGTCCTTCCTTACTCTTCACCACCTCCTCCTGTCCCTAGATTCCTACTGCCCCCCAATCTGCAAAGTGGTTGCCTCCAGACTCTTTCTACTCCAAGTTCAATGGACACTATGGCTGTCTGGTGAAAATTATTTAGCCAAAGGAGAAAAAAAAAAAACCTGCTTCAGTAACTGACCTTGTAAAAAGGGGACCAACTCACAGCCACACTGGATGAATTGAGAAGGCAGAAGTTCATCTTATTTCATGCTATACCAACTAAGGCAACAGATGCTAGCAACTTGGCACCCCACTTTTGAAGTTATGGTGCTGGGCCATCACATTCAAAGCAGAAGGATCAAGACTTTCAAAAATGATAAATTTGTTCCTTAATTATTTAAACAAAGTTGTGATGTAGGGCCTTGTTAAATACATAACAACTCCAGCAGAAGGAAGAAAAAACATTACCCAACATCTACTTTAATGCCGCGATAATTTTTCCAATCTTAAAACATTTCTTGTTTTTACTTCCAAAATTTTGTACTTTCTAGCTGACTCGCAAACATCTCTCCCAATAGGCCCGATCTCTAAAACTACTACTGATTGGCCAACAACCCCAATCTAATTCAATCCATGTGCAGTGGATTGAATAGTTTAATAAATAAATAAATAAATAAACCAGCCAGTGAGATAACTCAGTCAGTTAAGCACTAGCTTAGGCAAGCTCAGGGACTGGGGTTCAATCCCCCAACACTACATGTTGTGCCGGCCCCACCCCCAAGGGCTCTGAGCTGGCCACTGAGACTGGGTGTGGTGGCACACACCTGTAATCTTAGCAATGGGGAGGCTCAAAACAGGAGGATCAGTACCAGTGTGAGTTGCATAGTAAGACCCTGTACCAAATACATTTTTTTAAAAAGCAGTAAAACTGCCCATATTACTCCACTGCCCTGTACTACCCTATCCTAGAATAGATAGACTGATGAGAGGAATGACATGAAGTATGACCTCTCAAGACACAGGTCAGTGACAATAGAAATATCAGATGTTTATATGAGTATATAAAAGCAAGACAGAAAGTCAGTACATGGTAGCCTTCACTAGTCAGCTGCTGACATTCTTTTTATAAAAAACACGGTAGAGAAAATGAGGAATAATGAACACAACTAGTTATTTTTGCCACTTTACAAACTCTTTCAGACTTACCCAAATCTTCTAAAATGTGTTTCCATCTGTTTCTCACTTCCCTTCGTATCTGCCGCAGGGTATAGATATCATAGTTGAGTTTCTGCCACTCCTGTAAAAAAATAAAAATTCTATTTAACTTATACCCTTTGATCTAAACCTCTATTGTATTCCTGACCCTCATGTTGCATGATATGTGATTTTCTTCCCACTAATCATCAAAACCTACCTAAAAGAAGGGAAGGGTAGGGAAGGGAAGGGAAGGGAAGGGAAGGGAAGGGAAGCAGAAGGGAAGAGAGGAGGGCGGGGGATATAGTCTGGATAATTTGGTTTTTGGGGTGTGTGTGTGTGCGTGTGTGTGTGTGTGTGTGTGTGTGTGTGTGTTTTATGCTAGGACCCAAACTCATGACCTTGTACTTGCCTGGCAGGCACTGTGCCACTGAGCTATATCCCCAGCTCTAAGAAGGAAATTCCTAACAAAGATTAAAAATATACAAAAGCACAATACCTGTACAGAGTAAGTGCCTAATTTATGTGTAGGCCAATTTATAGGTGAAGAAACTAAAAACAGACTTGAAAAGTTTAATTGACTAATCCAATATCATCCAGTCAATAGGTATCAGAGTATAGGAATCTAAGTCTCGCTCCAAGTTCATGAGAAAAATGGACACATCAAGTATTTATCAGGTAGCATAGGCCTGGGAACTCCAACTGCCTTGATCCCTAGCCAATATTTTCTGCACTGTGTCTCAGTACCACTCTATTTTATTTGCATTCCACTGATAGGATGAATCTTTCAAGAATTTAGGTAGTTATTGGCAGGTTATCATTCTGAAAAGCTCTATATAATCTATGCGTAGTAAGCCATCATGTTGGTCCTGATACAGAATTTAATCTTTTAAGAGCATTGGCATCTTCACTGAGCTAGGCCAAGTATTCCTTTAAAATGCCATAGAGGCTGAGAACAAGCAGAGTCTAGAGCCAACAGTCTGTACTGGAAAACAGGTAAGATTCTGCAGGCAGCAATGGACCACAGAAGAGCCTTGAGCAGACGAGGCACCATGCAGGAGGGTGAGCTGGTTCTGAGTATGCCCTCAGTCCTCTCTCCTTTGGCAGGGGAGAGAGCCACTGTTGGTGTTTTGAGTCCATCAATAATATGATGACTGGTGCCCTCGTATCCAGTAGAGTCACTAGCCCCTTTCTTGCTCATAGTCATAAACTGTGAGCTATGTGCAAGATCCTGAGAGTTCCAAAGAAAAACACAAGACTGAACTGTCAGGACAGGAATTCTAAAAACACATCAGGCTACAAGTGGCAGGCACAGAAACACATATGTGAAGAAGGCAGGAAATCCCTACCCAGTCTCACTGTGTCACCACACCTCTCTGACACTGCATGGGAAAGAAAAATAAAGGAGGGGGTTGTGGAGAAGAGACTTACTGCAATGGTCAGGCAACTACTACATGCTTTGCAGTATAAAGTGGTCAAGAATGAGGGAAAATGGGCTGGTGAGGTAGTTCAGCAGAGTAAGTACCTGCTTAGGCAAGCACAGGGACTGGGGTTTGACATCCTCCCCACACACACACACCACATGCCTTGCCTGCCCCGCCCCAGACACACAGAGCCAGCTATGGAGACAGGGCATGGTATCGTAAGCTTGTAATCCTAGTGTTGGGGAGACTGAAAACAGGAGGATCACTATGAGTCTGAGGTGTGTAGTGAGACCCTGTACCAAATATGTTAAAAAAAAAAAATGAGGGAAAAGTTCTGGCCCTACACGTTAGAGGTATTCTTTACCTATATATTACAGGAAGAGACTATTCTGATAGCTCTGCTCTAGCACTACTAGCTGGTGGCCATGGTGAAGGGAAGAGCTAATAAGGCAACATGAAGAACCAGACTCAGTCCTCAGCCAGCAGAGCAGGGCTTATAAAGATCTCACAGTACATAACTTCTTTGGGCCTCGTTTTCTTTATTTGAAGAAGAAGATGATGATACAAGAGTATATATTAGTTCCCACAGTTGCTGTACAAATTACCTCAAACTAGGTGGCTTAAAACAATAGAAATTGGGGCTAGGAAGATAGCTCAGCACCATAAGCACCTGCCTAGCAAGTGCAAGTTCAATCGCTGGTACAAATAAATAATCAATATAAATTTATTATCTCTTATCACTTCCCTACTTGGAAACTCCCCTAAATTCCAAGACTTGCCTTGCCGATTGTCAGTCAATTTTCATGACTAGTTAAGAAAAATAAATTTAGTTGTCATTCACAAAGGTTTCTAGATACCATTTTTAAAAAATAGCTAATGGGCTGGAGAGATAGCTCAGCAGTCTAAAGCGCCTGCATAGGCAAACTTAGGCAGACCAAGGTTTGATCCCCAGCACCACATGCCATGCCAGCCCTGCCCTCAGGGTGGGCTGAACTGGCCAAAAATAAATACGTACATAAAATAAAAATAAAAAATAGCTAGCAAAATAAAATCTATTTCATTATCACTATATTTTAGACCTTGCATTTAAGGATATACCATAAAAAGGATATGTTTTCTTTAAATCAGAAAGCCATATTTCCTGGTCACTGTTGTCTGTTCATTTGTTTTGGTTTTGTATGGTTGTTTACATGAGCATGTAGACAAGTGTGCAAGGCTAGAGTCGGAGATAACATCAGGAAGACAACAAGGTCAACTAAATCATCTCAAAAACATGCAACCCTGACCTCATCTTGACTATCATATCAAAACACACTTATCGAATTCCCTGCAGAAATGGGGTGGCTATGTATTGTTCTTTCTCATTGAATGGGCCTTACTCTATTTAACTGACAGTATAGTTCATTGGAAAAAGGCCAAGGGTGCTAAGCCAGATCACCCAGGTTTGGGTCCCAGTTATTTATTAACAGCCTGACTTTGGGGAAATTCTTAACTTCACTGGCTCTCGGTTGCTTGGTTTGCAATATGACAGTACTACTATCTACACCCCACGGGCTTATTTGAGGCTCATTATGTAATACAAAACCTTCAAATGGAGGTTGCTGCACATTCTTTTAAATCATTGTAGATACAATTAAACCATCCTCCAAGATTCAAAATTATTTCTACTATGAGAATGGAGACCATCACACATTAACTTACATAATATCTCACTTGGAAAAAGTCCAGAGGAAATTTTCCTAGTCTTAGCATCAAAAGGGGTTTTACTTTTTCTAAAAACTATTCATCTTTCTGGCCACTGAACTTTATAACTGATCAGTCTCCATTTTAACCTGAAAATTAAGAGTTGTTTCAGAGAAAATATGCAGGGGTGTTATGGTTTATGTCTAGATGTCTGCCCCAAAGCCTCATGCAAGCATAGGTGTGGGCTTCTAGAGTCTATGATTGATTCATGGTCCAATGCTGAGATTATGGGTGTGACTGCTACCCTGGCCCTGGGGTGGTTAGCTCCCATACAATATAAGGGAAGGAAAGAGTCTTCCTCGCTGCTGTTCTTCCTTTTCACTCTAGTTACTTGTGCTGCTTCCCACCACAATGAGCTGTGCCCTCTGTCATGTGGATCTTTGCCTGGGGCCAGCTGAATATGGACTGAAACCTCCACAAACTGCAAGCTAAATAAGCCTTTCCTTCTTTCCTTCTGGATGTCAGGTGTTTTGTCCCAGCAACAAAAGAAAAGTAACAAGACAGAATTTGATCTGGGTGTAAGGTATTTTGTCCCAGCAATAAGAAAAGGTAACGAGGACAGAATTTGAATTCTGACACCTAGACTCTCTGAAGTGTTAACAGAAGAAAAAACAGCATATGAATGAGGCTCTAGGAAAAAAATTAAATCAGAAATAATTTCTTAGATCACTACAGAGATGATGGCCATAATGAAGGACAGGGTTAGTGAATCTAAACCAGATACAGACAAAAAACAAAGGAGTTTAGGAAAATGATGGGAACCACGAAGGCCCACATAGAAAAACAGTGGAGTCCATGAAACAGATTCAAACAGATATCTAGGAAATTAAAATTTCCATTGCAAGTATATACAGAAAAATGAATCAATGTGAGAACAAAATATCAGATATAGAAGACAGGATTGCAGAGGCAAGAGGATCACTACAAGTCTGAGCTGCATAGTGAGACCCTGTATCCAATAAATAAAAAAATTTTTAAAAGCCAGATATGGTGGTGCACACCTGTAATCCCAGCACTTAAGAGGCTGAGACAGGAGGACTACTATGAGTCTGAGCTGCATAATAAGACTCTGTATCTGATAAATATGTTTTGTTTTTTGTTTTTTGTTTTTGGTGGAACCAGGGATTGAACTCAGGCCCTTGCGCTTGCCAGGCAAGTGCTTACTCCACTGAGCCATCTCCCCGGCCCCCTTATATACATTTTTTTTTTAAAAAAAGAGTCAGGATTACAGCTAGCAATCATGAAGAGAAAGAGTTCTTAAAAACAGAGCAGGACCATGAAAAATCAATCTAACAGCTTCTAGATGATGGAAACAAGAATGACATAAGATTGATCAGAGTTAATGAAAAACCAGAGGAAAACACAAATAACATTAAAAAACTTATTTACAGAAGTAATGTCAGAAAACTTCCAAGTGCAAAAAAAGAATTTGATATATGGATAAGTGAGGCATATAGAACTCCAATTATCCATGATCAAAAAACATCTATGCCAAGGCATATAATAATCAAGATTCCAGAAATTCAACACAAGAACAAAATATTAAATGCTGTTAGAGAACAGAAACAAAACACTCATAATAGAAAGCCCATCAGAATCACAGCAGACTTTCCAACACAAATTCTCAAAGAGGAGCTTAGAGTGAAGTATTTCGGGCCCTAAAGAAAAAAATCTCCAGCCTGGACTGATGTACCCCTCAAAAGTAGCTCTCAAACTGATGAAGAAATAAGATATTCCCATGACAAAGAACACCTGAAGAAATTCATGACTATCAAATCAGCCATCTAAAATCTTCTGAAGAAATTCTAGAAAAGGATCGTAAGGACTACAACTGCATGAATTCCAACAGAATGAATCTACCAGGGAAGGCAAGTAATTAAACAGAAAGGAAAAGAGAATCAACAACAGGAAAATAATATGACAAGGATAAGTCAAT